CACGACAAGCCACCTGACGTCAAAATCTCACTGCACGCCCTAACAAAGGTCTCCCATCCTGCCATACTATGATTCTTAGCTCAGCTCGTGGAGGAGAATCTTGTCGCCTTTGTCAACTACTTGTCTACTCACAATTTTGTTGAGTGGCGAGGTTGCCAAAGCCATGTCCTTGACAGCCACACTAATTCATCCGTTTTGGGTCAAGGTCACCAATGGAGAGTCCCTCTACCGCAGGCGCTGCGACAAAGCCGTAAACCTCACCATCAAAATTGAAACCCTCAAGGTAGATCTGTATGAGTTGTCGTTCAAGTGGCTTGACATGGTGTTGGATGTACAATGGCTTTAACAACTTAAACTGGTGGCTGTCAATTGGAAACATCTCACGTTGCACTTCATGAAACGATGTACAATGGCTTAAACAACTTAAACTGGTGGCTGTCATTATTACTAATATAAGTATTATTATATTATTATTATTATTATTATTATTATTATTGTGGTATTCGGCTTTTAGGGGGTATTATTATTGTTGATTTTGGGTAGTTTAGGGATAGATTCGGTTAGTAGTGGTAGAGGCTGAGTGTAATTAGGAGAATAGGAGGGCTGGCGGGCAAGCGATTGGTCGAGTGGGTTAGGATTAGTTTTAGGATTTTTGGATTGTTAACCTGTATATATATGGACTTTGTGGTTCAGTTTTAATATACAAGAAGAAAACTACACCAGTTTATCGTTATGTTTATCTAGGAGTATGAGTAATTTAGCTAAATGATTTGTGCCTAAATGTACACTTTTTATCCCTGTTTCCCTTTGGTGTTTGTGGCATTTGAGCTCCAATAGTGTGGTTTTACGCTAGGTTTGCTGTGTTTCAATGTGTTTCAAAGTCTAACATGTGAAACCAACCTTGGAGTCGAAAGTTGGAAGAAAAGACGCAAAGACTGTGCAAAGAGAAGGATCCAGCCGCATTTCACGGTCAAAGCTGCGAGTTCACGGTCGCCAGGACCGTGAACTTGAACCACAAACCATGAACTGAAGGCCGTCCAAAGGAGTTTCAGAGGTTACTGACGTTGAGGCAGTTCACTGTCGTAAGACCGAGTACGGAGCCATGGACCGTGAACTCAAAAAATGAAACGGCGCGTTTTGGGGTGTGTTCACGGCCATGAACTGGGACCGTGAATTGGGCGCGATCTGTGTATAAATGGATAGCTTACAGGAGGAAGAAGGGGAGCCCAAAGTGAAAGAAACCTTCTTCTTCTTGAAACCTAGAGAGAGAAAGTCACAAACCAAGAGGGAGAAGAGGCTAGGGTTTGCTCCAAGTGAAGATTTTGGAAGTTCCTCTTCAATAGGGGACCTGTACAAGCACAAGGAGAGTTGGAGGCATCACACTGATGGTTTCTTTCTTTTTCCTTTGTGTTCTTCCTTTGTCTAGCATGGAGTAGTCTCCCTTTTCACTTGGGTGTTGTAGAACCCTAACTTCTACCATGTAGTTGATTGTGTGGATTGAATGATTATGTGTGGGTGGTGTTCAATTTAAGATTTAAGGTATTTTTCATGGTGATTGTGCTTTGTGTGTGCTTGGAAATCTATTGTGCTATTCTAACATAGCTTGAAGAGGAACCCCCTTATATTAAGAGGCTCAAATTGGGCTGGGTTTTCTTAGGCATTCCATGCCTCCTAACTAGGTCAATGTAAGGCAAATCTCTAAAATTGAATTAGACACCTATGTTAATTATGATTAAGCCGTCCAAACCTAGGTTTGAGGGAGAAGGTAAGTCAACCCTCAATTGCTTGGGCCAAGAAGGCTACAATTGTAGCCTATAATGCTTTCCTTGGCTTAGCAATTGAGAGGATGGTTTCTAACCATTGTTGCACCTCCTATGGCTTGCAATTGCCTTGTCGCGCAACGATTTATTCGATCCCACGGGTCATGGTAGTTAGTTAGGAGGAAGCAACTCCCGAGTGAAGCTTCTCACCAAGAGTTTCAGCCCTTTTTACTTTTCAAGTCTTGCTTTTCAATAGTAGATTGTAGAGATTTTTACAAACAACATTCCGCTAGATAATATTTCAAACAATTGGAATAGGGTTACATGGGCCCGCCCGGGTTGATATTTAAACATACTTGCCTTATACTGCACCCATTTAAGGTTTATACTTGGGCCTTAGGTGGAATTTTAGTGTGATATTCGGGTTGAGTCACTAAAGTATCACGATACTTGGAACGCCAATGCATCAAGAAAATGCATTTTTTTCAATCAAAGAAAGTATTGTATGGGTCTCTTGGATGATGTGGGGTATATGGAAGCCAAAGACTGTCTCTCACCAGTTGATTATAAAGTTAAGTTGTCAGATAAGCAAGGTGAGCCTTTACCTAATCCAGAAGTATACAAGAGGCTCATAGGCAGACCTCATTATCTGACAATAACAAGGCCTGATTTGACTTATTCAGTTTAGCAACTCTGCCAATTTCAAAAAGATCCCTGCACAGAACATCTACAAGCTACATTCAGAGTGCTAAGATATTTGAAGCATGCACCAGGTCAGGTTTGTTGTTTAAAGTTGAAACCAAGTTTGAGTTACAAGGATTTTCTGATTTAGACTAGGCAAGTTGTCTAGATATAATGAGGTCAGTAACTGGATATTGTACCATGCTTGGTGAATTCTTGTTAACATGGAAATCCAAAAAGCTTACTACAGTTTCTAGATCCTCCTCTAACCAGAATATAGAGCATTAACTCAGTTGGTGTGTGAATTGCAATGGATCAGAAGTCTTTTTGCTGAAATGGGAGTCAACGTTCCTCTTTCAATTGAGGTGTTCTGTGAAAACAAGTCAACCATTCATATTGCTGAAAAACCCGGCCTTCCATGAGAAGACCAAACATATAGAGATTGATTGCCACATTACCCGGAAGAGACTGAAGTCTGGTATGATCAAGTTAAGTAAAGTAAGAACTAATGATCAGGTGGCTGATTTGTTCACCAAAGGAGTGACTCGTCGCAGGCTTGTTTATTTACTTCGCAAATTGGGAGTTATAGACATGTACTCGCCAACTTGTGGGGGAGTGTCAAAGCATCAATCCAGCAGTCAAGACCATGAAGAAATAAAGGTTCAATGAAGTTGTACTGATGGAGCAGAGGAGACTACAAGTCTTTTAAATGAAGAAGAAACGAAGAACGAAATGGGAGCATTTTAATGCTAGTTGTTTAAGTGCTTTTATTATCAATCAAGTAGTGCCACGTGTATGCCTACATTTACTCTATTTTAAATTACCATTACTTTTGTTTTTACTATAGAACGTTACCAACTATATAAACAGCAGGTAGATCGAATTTCCACTCTGCGATTCCTGCTCCAATTCATCGCCATTTTCAGATCTCCTTCTCTTTCTTTTACTCGACTGCTAACCCTAGCAGCTCCCTAAATTTCTTAGGGGCAGCTCGAGCTCTGGTATGATTTTATGAAATATAAAGGTAAAAGGAAAAATTTCTGATTCATTTAAGAAAATAGATCCATAGAACGGTGGAGATTCAGACCTCGCAGGTATGGGGCCTAGGCGGAGAAAGACGTTCGAGAAGGGTCCCTTGTCGCTGTAAGTGGTTGGGGAAAGGGTCTCAAAGACGGATCAATCGGATTTTGTGGCATCTGGTTGGTGGTTTAAAAGAATTAAGAAAAAATATAAGATAAATAAACAAAATAAATTATAAAAATATTAATTGATTTTGTTGACATGGTACTGGCTAGGCCCGTTGGCCGTTAGTTAACGGTGTTGACCGTCCAACTTGACAGTCAACCAAGATGTCCGACCAAAATTGTATAAATTATGTATAATCTGGTAGGGGTGTTCAAATGGTTACCATGGTTATAACTAAACGAAATAAGGCTAAATTCCATTAACCATGGAATACAATATCATAACCAAACCGTCCAAACTAATACAACAACCAAATTAACCAAACTAAAGTTTAATCGGTTTGGTTAATTGGTTAACCAGATTAACCAATATAAAATCACATTATCATTGACGATAAAAATTTTCTGGTCAATGCAACAATTCGCAATTTATATAATGAATAAAACATAACAACCAACACGTAGTTATAATTGACCCTTGACAAAAATACATGCAACTAAGACAATTATCTTTCGATTAGTATAGAAGTATTCACCTAACAAAAATTTATGACAATGGTATGGGTTAATGAATTGTTGTGTTTGTGTAAATTGACTTAGTCTCTTAGCAATTATCATAGGCTGGAAATGACATTCCTTTCAAGTTTTCATCCATCATAATGTATGAAATTTATCTAAATTAGGCGTCCATATGTTGTGGTCTACATTTTACATATACAAATATTCACTATATGAGCAATATTTAACTTTATATTTTATGAGTCTAAAAGGGACGAACGTTAACTCTTGAGTGCTTATGCAAAGTATTAAGTATGTGTATATAATATATGTTAGATATATGACTAATTACTTAACTGGTTAATTTGGTTTGGCTGGTTAGGAGTGTTTGAAACCAAACCAAACCACCTAAACCAAACAAGCTAAAAACTTTAACCAAACCAAACCAAACCAATTATCCAAATTAACCTAACCAAATTATCCAAATAGTACCGGTTAAAACGGTTACCATGGTAACCAAACCGTTTGAACACCCCTATAATCTGGGCATTCGAAAAATTCGGACCAAATAGTATTCTTGTGAAGTTGGAAACCGAAGTCAAGACCGTAGCTGGGTTCAGCAATCAACGGCGGCCAACAACCACAAGGTAAAGTCTTCCCTGACTACCAGCTCCATAGTTTTCCTCCACCGTGTTACAAGATAAAGGTCACCAGTTTCCATCCCGGGTCATACGTTTAGGATTGAGAAGTTTGGCTTCGACGTCGGTGTCCGATTCCGGAGATGGAAAGGACAAATAAAACGAAATAATCTTCTTTCAGGAAAAGAAAAGGAGAAGGGAGCCTGGACATATAAACAAATAAGGCTTGGATGTGAATCTACATCTAGACCTAGATCGTGGCAAAATGGGGACATCGGTGGTCGAAGCTGCAGACCAATTCGCAAAACTGCCGGAAGAGTTAGCGGTGGAGATACTTTCCCGGTCGGCGATCACCCTGAACGAAGCGGTGAGATGCAGCAGCCTGTTGGGGAAACGGTGGAGGTACATGTGGCAACTGATCGACTCCCCGGTTCTGGATTTCGACAAGTCCGATGATGACGTCACACCGGAATCGCAGCGGCGGTTCGTGGATCGGGTCGACCAGGCCATCAGTTGGGTCCAACAATCCAGAACCAGACTGGACGGGTTGAAGATCGGGTTCAAGCTGTACCATATGCAAGAGGCCGGGTGGAGGTGGATCGAATTCGGTTTCGCCGAGCGAGTCAAGCGGCTGACCCTCCTGTCCTACTTCACCCACTCTTGGCGCGACGATCTCAATGGCGGGATCCCTGTCCCTCTCTTCACCCCTGATTTCCTCCGCACCCAAAACCTCAGCCGCCTCGAGGTTTTGGAATTTCAACGCTTGGCCGCGATTCCGCAAGGAACCCTGGAACATATCTTCTACTACTGTCCCTCTCTGCAACGCTTCTCCCTCACCGATTGCACTTTCCACGGCGATGATACAGTGGTCAGAGTTTATTGTCCCAACAACAACAATCTCCAGAAGCTGACATTCTGGTTTCCAATCCCGGATCACGGTTGTAGGAGTATCGATCTCTTCTCTGCTCCGGGTCTTCATAGTCTGGAGGTGCGTACAGTATCAGCCGAGCCAGCGGTCCTCTTCCCGGGCGACCTTCCTCAACTCCAGGAGCTGCAGCTTTGTTACTACGGGATAGGTCACACCCACCAATGCTTCATCCCGTGGTCTCCTACTGAATTCAAACTGTTTGCACCCCGATTACAGTTTCTAAAGTACAACATGACGACATATCAGCTTCCTAATCAACCTCTCCATGTCCCGGAATGGCTGCTGTTTGAAAAGCTCACCGTGTTGGATCTGTCCATACATATATGTACCCCCGTTAAATTTATGCTGCAGTGCACGATCTTGCTGAGGGCAGCTCCAATGTTGCGCAGATTGTCAATGACCTTCGAAAATATGATGACGTTACGCGGTAGAATATGGGAGGATAGGGCGGAGGAGGAGTTTCCGACATGGTGGAAGCATCGCTCTCTGCAGGTGCTTCAGCTGCACGGGGTGCATCCAAGCGACGAGGGATGTCCTCCTGATCCTCGCAAACTCCAAATGGGGGTTGCTGCTTGCATCATAATGGCCTCGCCTTTGTTGAATGAGGTCCTTGTTGATACCAGAAATTTGAAAACAAACGCTTCCAGAGAACAACAACGGGTTGATGCTCTAATCTCTGAAGCTAGGATAGAGTTGGAAACCCGACTCGAGTGTCACGCTTCCACCTCCCAAATTCGCTTCATTTATCAATAAAAACCATGTTACCATATCACTATATGTGCTGCAGGAGGACGCAGAAGAAGAATTATGTAATATTGTTTCCCAATCAGGTTTATCCTTTTCTTTTATTCCATTTCTCTTCATCATGTAAAATGTATCAGTGCATTATTTCATTATTCTTATTATTAACCTTTAGGAATTGGATAGGCCTTTACTATATAGTATTATGCTTTTAACTATTATGAATTCTTAATCCATGGACACCCTCGTCTCCTGTATGTTGAATTCTTGTGAAATAGACGTTTTCGCGCTCCCACTCCCGCTCCCGTTCCATGAATTGGTTACCTAAAATCAAACATGCAATGAATCTCAGGCCAAGTAAGATTACATGTAAAATGTAATGAAAATATCTAGACATCCTGCCCATCTACAAATTGTCATAGCATCCTGGAAGCTTTCATATTTATACGAGGACTACCTGTATTGGTATGTGATGAAGCTAAAATCACATGTTTTTCACTTAAACTGATATTTCAATCACATCTTGACTCGTCTCGAATACCACAATAAAACTCCCAATTAAGGCCTAAGTATAAACCTTAATTGTGTGCAATATAGGCCAAGTATGTTTAAATGTCGACCCGGGCCGGTTCATGTACCCCTACTTAGATTGTTTGAAACAATATCTAGCGGTTGATTTTTGGTGAAAACAACGATCTATAGCTAAAACTTTTGGAAAATTAAATGGATTTAACACTAATTGAGAAGGCTTCACCCAGGTGTTGCTCCCCCTAGCTAACAATTATGACTTGTCAGATCGAATGATCACGTGTGGTAAGGTGGTTGTAAACCGTAGGGAAGTGCAACAAGTAGCCAAATGCCACTCTCTCGGTCTCTAGGTTGACAGAATTCAATTCAAGCCACCAAAGTGACTCTCTTGACCTATCAACTAAGGGTTGCCAAGACTTCACCCTCGAATCAGAGTTCGGACGACCAATTACTACCAACCCTAGGTGCTAATACGAACTAAGAGAGTTGCCCTACATTAACCTCGATAGGAGACAATGAATTGCCTAAGAAAACCCAGCTTTGCAAGCCTCTTTCAAAGAAAGCGAGTTTTCTCTCTACATAAGTTAGAATGGCAATTAGATTGATAGGCTTTCACACAACACAATCATTCATGAAAAATACCTCCACATTCACATTAAACACATCCACACACAAATCATTCCATCCATACAAGCATTCAAATAATTGTAGTTAGGGTTTATAAACATCCAAGTGAAAGAAGTGACTACTCCATGCTAGGAGAAGGGAAAACACAAGAGAGAAGAAGGAAAACCATCGATGAGATGCTAGCCTTGCTCCTTGTGTTGAAGAGATCCTCCTTTGGGGAAGGAATTCCCAAATCCTTGCTTGAAGATGAAACCCTAGCTTCTCCTCTTCTTTGGTTCGTCAATTTCTCACTCTAGAAATCTGAAGAAGAAGTTTCTCACCCTTTTCTCCTTCAGCTCAACCTCCTTTTATACCCAGATCGGGCTCAGATCACGGTCCTAGTTCACGGCCATGAACTGAAAGCACGGACCGTGATCTCAAGTCAAAACACGTCGCATTACTAAGTCCACTTCACGGGCAATGGCCTAAGTACACGGTCTTACGAATGAACTGACTTGAGTCCAGTGAAAGTGATTTATGCTCTGGATGCCTGGCTGTTCACGACCGGAATCAATTGGCAATCATGTAAATAATAGTATCAATGTATCCATTGGACTCGAGAGCTATTTGTTTCCACCTCTCTCCTTCTGCCTGTTAGATAAGATAATTCAAATTATTAAAGTAGTTGAACAATTAAAAAAGGATCAACATCATACTGTTTTTATGACATTTTAATGACTAATAAATTAATTTTTTTTATGAAAATGAAAGAGAAACCCCATGCATGGGAACCGATTCCTAAAGGAAAATTAAAATGACACTTCTAATTGGTCCTCATCGTAAGAGATTATTGCCCGTTTTCTTTTATGAACTTCAATTTAAAGACCTAAATATTTAAATTGATCGCCCTAGACCCTACTTAAAGTACCCTTTTGCCCCCAACTTAACCCAAAACCTATCTTCACTATCGAACACCATCCACTGACTCGATAGCCGCCGGCTCGCCGCCAACCAATCCCTTCCCCCAGCTCTAATTCCACCGCCGACCGATTCACCAACGCTGCCGACTCATCTGCCCATCACCACCAACCTCTACTATTGCCTAGCCTGTTGCCCTCGAGGAGGAAGAAGGTCTGAATAAGAACTCATTGTTGGATCTTTTTTTTTTGTTCTATGTCCACTCGTCGAACGGGTTGAAAACCTATCTCCGGCGAGGTTGGGTTGGGTTTCTGACCTGTCCCACGACCAGGAGAAGCGGGCATGCCACCGTTTGGAGGCGGGTTTGGTCGGACAGGGTATCCGACGACGGCTAGGGATTAATTCTTCATCGAAGCTCTCTCTTCTTTTTTCCGATGATGACGACTAGGGATGGCGATTCCTTCTTCTTCGTCCTTCTTCCTCCTCAAGGTCGGCAGAATTCGACAGCAACAACGTATCAGAGATGGCGGCTAAGGTCGGGTGGGGTGGGTGACTCCTTACGTTTACGTTTACGATGGAGGTCGGCAGTTGGATTTTTTTTAAGATAAAAAACATTAATTGTTAGGGGGATTTTTTTTAAGGATACGGGCAAGAATGTCATCTTTCTATGGTTTAGTACAACATCATCGTCACTAGTAATAATTTCTTCGTCTCCATTAGTGACAAATTTATCTCCAATACCAATTTACTCTTCCTTCTTCTCTTACTTTTCAGTTATCTTTTCCTTGTCTACCTGCATTTGATTGAGCACAAAATTCGATGGTAAAATATATTTGCAAATACAAATCATCATTTTCATTATAGTAGAATTTACCTTGTCCAAGTTACGAACAATACCATGGATTTGTTCTTTCTCCCCATCAATAGTCTTTATATCTTCCACATGAACTATGTTTTTCTTCTTCTCAAGATCATCATCATCATCTCTAGCACCAGAACCAATACCTCTACCATTAGCAGTGCCATTCTTATTGTCCTACATCACCATTATTAATTTAGAGAATTGACATTCAAAAGTACAACATATGGTGTTGTTTTATCCAATAATTAGTGGTCAATATATATATATATATATATATATATATATATGGTGACTACTTCGGTGCACTCACAAAAATGAGTGCGTTCAATGCACCCAACTCAAAAACTAGTCTTAAGGTGTTGGATTTTGAATTTTAATTTGTAGAATTAGTGTAATATGATGATATAACATATGATAACAACTAATTAGCGGATTATCCTAAACCCTAGACCTCCAATTTTGAGTTCGATCCCTAAACCCCAAATTGTAAACCCTAACCCTAAATCTCTAAACTCTAAATCCTTCAAATTAAAGTAAATCTTTAATGGTTTTTGTGCAAATTCATGTGCGTTATTGTTCATCACATCATAAGTGATGATTGACATCATTTTGACATAAGTCGCATGTTTAAAATGACGGTTATGATGCGAGTGCACTGAATGCACCCAAAAAATGGCGGCGTAAGCGGGAACAAAACCGCTTGCAGATTCTCTACAATCGAGTGCAGTTCAGCTTCTGATACTTTTTGCTCGAAATGGACGCTTTTCTCCCTATTGAGGAGTAGCATTCGTCGGTCTCGTAATCGTATACATCTACGGGAAGAAGAGGGACAAATCCGGCGGTTATAGTTGTACTAGAAATGGAAAATTCCGACGAATCTCGGTCTGTCTAGCATCCGGCGGCTGCTACTTACGCGATCGTCAGAGCAAGGATTTGAAGGCGAAAGATGTGGTGGCATGGACGGAGGAGGCAGTGGAGGAGGGAATCGAGAGAATGGGAGCTAGTCTGGATGGACAAAGGGTTTAATTTTGAGTTGGACGAGCTGTTGAGGGCATCAAGTTATGTGTTTACCCATAAAAATTAACCTTGTACCACATCGGTTAAAAACAAGGAATTAAATGGCTTTATAAGGCCAACTTAATCATATAAGTTTAAATCAGTTGAGTGGGCCATGACGATTGGGTTTTAGGGCCCATCACCCCGTGCCACCACGCGCGCCATGCATCTCCAAATTTGGCTAAGTATGGGAGCCACCCCCATGACGTGGCAAGGAGGGTGGCCACCATCACACCACCCCCAGGACGTGCCTAGGGGGGTGGACATCATAGCGCCAACCCCAGGACATGGTGAGGGGGGTGATGGCTGAATTTGGCTAAGGCAAGGGAGGTGGGCATCATACCACCACCCTCAGGAGGTGCTAAGGGGGGTGGCTACCATCACATCACCCCCAGGACGTGCCTAGGGGGGAGGACATCATAGCACCACCCCCAGGACATGGCAAGGGGGTGGACATCATACTGCCACCCCCATGACATGGTAAGGGGGCTGATGGCCGAATTTGGCTAAGGCAAGGAATATGGGAGCCACCCCTGTCAAGGGGGGTGGGCGTGGGCATCATACCACAACCCCCAGGACGTGGCAAGGGGGTGGCCACCATCACACCACCCCTAGGATTTGGCAAGGGGGGTGGACATCATACCGCCACCCCATGACATGGTGAGGGGGTACCACCACCCCCAGGACGTACTGAGGGGATGAGAAGATGTAAAATGTGGCTAAGTATGGAAGATAATGAGGGTGGCAAGGAGGACCCCCATGAGGTGATCTGGGGACTACCAACATACCACCCCCACGGTATGATCAGGGGGTGGGGGGATATGGTGGCGGCGGTGATCCATATGACCCCCATGAAGGATGCTCCAATGGTATGGTGAGGGGGCCGTCACCAATGTGAGCACGTGATCTCTTTACTCTACTAATGGTGAAATAATTTTTGCCATGGTAACTCATGTTATTCAAATACCCACCCATATGTGGTAAATGGTATTCCTTTATGCCTTAGCCATTTTTACTCTTTGGATAAGAAAAACTACGAAGGAGGGGGTCAAGACTGAAGAACATCCAACATCAGGGTAACCGTCATAGCAGTTGAGAAGGTAACCGTCAATCCACGTCAGCAGAGCAGTTTCTT